GACCATCGATTGCACACTTTATCATTCTTTTTTCTCACATCTCATTCCCCTTGCGCTCTTCTTCGTCAGACACACACTCCTTTAATATACGAGGACGCACAATTTTTCCATGTCCCGCAATTTTTGCCTCTCTTGCCCTTTGAGTCGTCGTGAAAAGGCTACAAAATGTTTAATATCAAACATGTTCAACATATTAGAGTGGAAGATTGGATGAGAAGGCATACCAAACACAGCCATTTAACACAACGTAGCAAGACATGTTTGAAGAAATTTAAGTATTCCATCGGCTTATATACTTCACTCTTAGAGAGAATGAAAATTAGGTCATAACCATTACTTTCCGTCTCAAAATCCATCGCCAAATATACTTGAGAATTGAAAACGACGGTGATGTACCGAAAGAGAAACAATCATTAATTGTGCAGATCGATAGTGAATCAACAGGGAGTCCATCTGATCATCATTTTCACCTCAGTTTCATTGGGAACAACCATTCTTTGCCAGGAATTGCACTTGAAACCTTACTTTTCTTGTCGCTACCTCGACTTCTCCTGTCCTTTTTTGTTCTTTTCCACCCAAATAAAATATTTCAGCCAACATTGAGCACTCACAGTCGGTTGTATAAAGCTGTGATATAGAAAGTCGCCAAATAGACGACCTCCACACGTTGAGACTCGAATGCTTGGCGATTTTGTTGCCAGTGCAACATTCACCAATGTTTCGATCTCTTTCGTCTGACTCGACATGGTGAGTTGACCTTTAGAGCGTTCATTCTCGATCATATTGACTTTAAGAGATTTTTGCATATAAAATGGCACTCGAATCTCAAGCATATATATATAAATTTTCACTCCTCATGCGTGGCATCATCGCCAGAATTATATAAGAACCAGAGTCTGTATTTTCCCATTTTGCGAGCACCGTTGCACACTTTATTAGCATGATATTTAAATAAATGAACTTCGATGAAAATTATGGAGAAAAACATCTCTTTGCACACACTTCTTCAAAACTGGACAACTGGAAACTTGTTTGTTTAATATTATAATAAGGTGGGAGCTATAAATGAAACATTTAATGCTCATCCATTTTAAATTGTATGCTCATGTCGAGGGTTCTTCTCTCCATCTCTCCCATCCAAGAAGAACTATTTCCCCATACTTTAGACACTACAATAATCCCCACATCCCAATGATTCTCCAACAAGACAATCATACAATATGAATATGCATCTCATTATGCTGGGGGATCCTCTCGAGAGCGACACTCATTGTTGCTGAACAAATAATCCCTTTTGCTCGTCCCTTCCCCTCTCCCACAAGCACTGGGAGACTTTCCAACCAGCTCAAGAAGAAAACATGTACAACAAGAGGAAAATACAAGAGTGAGAGATGGTATAAAAAGTCAGAGAGGAACATTTGTAAGATAGAGAGAATATTCTCTAGTGGTATTCCGTCTATTTTGTCTGCAATTTTCTCCTCCAGAATACCATCCAATCCTTCTTCTCTCTCTCTAATTCCCCATACTTCTTCCACAACATGGTCAGTGTCGTCTTTGGGAGATGGAACATGGCAAAAAAGACAGTGTACAGATCTTGACCACCGCGCGACCCCCCGCCAAAGACAGAGAAAAATTTCAACATCATTAAAGCTCACAACACCACTTGAGAAATCACATGAGAATCACTAATAGCCACAATTTTCCATGTGAAATAGTGCAAAAAGAACCACACATAGCCATACTTTTATCTAAAACGTCTCTCTATCTCTGCACACTTTTTACACTCCCCATCACTCCTTGTGGATCTCAAGACACACCGCGCCACGGTATGGCGCATGGAGAAAGAGGAATCTCAATAGCAAGAAGACATTATACAACTAATATGGTATATGAGTGAAGATCACAGAACAAATGACTCTTGACCTCATCGGAACTCTCATCTTCGTTGAATAGGGCAAATATTGTTATTAATCAAACAGCTAGGACGCCATGCGATGGGGAATAAAAACAAATAGGAGAGAGTGGATGGAGAAAATATGGCCCGGAGAATCCCAACGGCTAAGAAAATTGACTCATCAAACTTCTTAAGTAGAATAGATATTTCTCACACGAGAATGACTTACTACCATCCAATTGGACACTGCTGGGCGCCACTGGTTCACCTCTTGAACAATATTTTCTCAAGAAGCTCCCCAAATTTTTAACCAATTTCAGTAAATCTCGCTATATTTCTCATCCACCGTTTCCATGATAAATTGTACTACATGATACCTTGCATTGCCGCCTATTTATCATCATACACTTAATACAGGGTATATTAGAGTCTGTCTCTCTTCCCTTCCCTGGGTGGTTTGAAAACCTCAATCGTGCCTCCAAAGTTTACACAAGTCAACGAAAAAGCAACAGTGAGGTTTCTCTCATTGTGTGTCGTTTGGAAAAATTAGCAGATATGCGAGAGTGGCAACTAAAAACGTCCAGTATATTGGTAAAAAGCCATAAATTCACTAATAACACACTTCACACAAACTCTATGCCTGTCATTGATACCCAGCTTAAATACAATTCGCAATATCTTAACCACACTTCTGCACAATTACCCTCTTACCACTCATCGAGACTTTTGAACTGCAATTTAGCCTATCAACACTCTTAGATATCAAGGTGAAGCATTTTTTGGCTGCAAAAAAAACCTCTTCAGCATTTTTTTTCATCCCAAAGCACTCATTCAAAACTCTTGGCGAATCATGGCAGAAGAAACCTCTCGCAGAAGCTCACTTGGAAGTCCAAATCCCAAAATGGACTTAATTATGCAACAATAAAATCCACATACACACACGCTGTGGATTAATTTCACAATAATCCACTTCTTTTTCAGCTCTCTCTCACTCTTTTTTCACCGTTGGATGCAATTAAAAGAAAAGAAGACACAGAGTGAGGTGAAACTCATGTGAGGAGAAAGATGAGTATAACAAATGTTTGAAGATGGTGAGAGGAAGTGAAAAAAATAGCATTTTCGCATATAAAACAACACATACAATTTCTTATGGACAATTTATCACACTTTTGCAGAGCTTTTTCACTATACACAGCACTGCAATCTCTTCTTATATCTCACCTATGTACATTGCCACTTTTACTCAAGTTACATTCTCAAAGTTACAGAAAACATAAGACACATATATTCAACGATATACTAGCGAGCAATAAGACATTAAACTCCACATTCATATTATAAAGTGAGTTTCTGTGCGGAGGAAAATGTGTATTAAGATCGTGACTAGTTTTCGATCGCCACATATGTTCAGCATAGCTCGCACAATAAGAGTTAAATTTGCACAGTCGGAAATGAGGCTTTCAATTGAGAAAAAAACCCACACGCTGTATTATTATTGAAAATCTATCGGTTCACAATTAAAGAAATATCACTTTTGCGCCAGGTCGATTTGATAAATATGGAATTGGGGGGCGTTTTTTTCTCTAACCATTGCCTTCACAGATCACACAATTCTCCTTTCTCTCTTCCCACAGATTACAGCAATTCTATCACAAAATTGCAGTGAATATTAAAAGAAAATGCACACCATGATCATATTTATGCGGTGGCCAGAAGATGAACGATAGTAAAACTTCATAATTTACAACTCTCTAATGGAAATGGCATGAAAGATGTTGAGGTAGAGAACCACAGACAACACTAAACTATTATAATTCCCCACAAGAGGTTGTAAAAATAAATTAACCTTTACTCCCCCCCGCTCCGCTACTCTTCGACCCGCCGCAAAACCTCAGCACTTTTTTTTCCCAATGTTTAAAAAGCACACACATCTTTTCATCAAATGCAATATTCCTCTCTTCATCATTCTCGCCGCGAAGAGATCAATTTTCAATTTCCATTAGAAAACCTTTATCTGTGCACAAGTTTTCTCACACTCACCATACATCTCACACTCTGGCAAAGAGATGAAAATTGAGGAGGAAAAATTCACACAATCCCATCTTATTCACATGCAGCGATCATGATGGTTCATCGCGATCAAATCACCAAACTAATAGTCCAATAAGTGGTTGAAACAACGTTTTTAGCCACACATCTCTGTGGAATATTAATTTTTATGAGTCCGAGACATCACACAAGCTGCTTCACTGCCTTTCCTCTGGTCTTTCTCGCTGACGCAAATTCGCAGAGGCCGTAATCCAAATGCCAAATATTCACCAAAGATATATGGACACACCTGAGTCATAAAATCCTGAATGTGTCCCACAGAAATTATTATTCACTTTAGAAGTAATCCATTAGTGGGTGGACCACAGATTGTATTTTATCCACTTCCACAGATGATCATCCTTTTCTGCACATAGACACACTATTTTCACGATCACACATCGCGACTTTACGCAAAGCGCCAAAGAGAAAAACGTTGCTTCAACCACACTGAGATGGAAAAAAAATTACAAGTTATGTTAATTGGAAAATGTCGTTCAGATGGAGTTCAAAAAGTGTTTTGTGAATGCAAAAAGCCAGATATTGAGAGTAAGTACACATTTTTCCATATGAAATGGTGTGTGCGCGCTGATCGATTCAAGGTTCCCGGATTGCGTTCGTTTTTTTCTATACCAACGGATCGCCAAGAGTCTGCAGAGAGAAAATTGAGTGCAGCCCAACTACACCCAACTCTCAATCTGCGTATAGGCATTGCAATGTGGGCTTCTGCCACAAATGTCGCGACATGAGATCATCGTGTGCAATTTTTATGCAGATTTTGCCACAACTTTTGCATTCACAGTCACTCAACTCCACATCTTTTGCACAGCAACACCGCAACGTCCATTCTCGCGCATCTTCACCTCAATTTGATGGTTTTGTGTGAATTTTTCCTTTCTCAATTTTTTTTTTAATCATACTCTGTCTTTCTCTTTACACACAGAAACTTCAACTCATTTATCCATGAGACTCATCAATGAAAGATCTCCTCTTCTTTCAGTGTGAAAAATTCACTCACCATTCACCATGGCTGTTCCGCCACAGCGCTTAAGATATGAAAATTTGCCACTTTTACCAACTCTACAAACTAAGCACTTGTGATTCACTCGATGTCTGGATGAAGACTGAATTTCCAACTGAGCTGCTCATAAGATCGCGGTCTCTTGGAGAGTTTCTCTCTCACGCAAACACTCACAACGAAAAGGTAGGTGGAAGAAGTCTGTAAATCTCTCAGCGCGCCGCTACTCAATTCACATGCAATGGAAAAGCTCTTGGCACTCACCTGACTGCGAGAGTATAGCGAAGTTCTCGCGAGACTCCAAGTGTGCTGGAAGAAACTCCTTCACACCTTCATGTCGCGATCGCGATCACAAGTCGGCAACACCTGGAGAAGAGAGGAGAGAGAGCTCAACCGTTAAGCGCAACATTCAAAATATACATAACCACGAAATGGCACTTTTCTCTCTCGCGCGCGCGAAAGTGACGAAGAACCACAAGGGTAATTCATATACTGAATCATCGATCTATTTTTACCACTTGCAAATCCCCATACAATTCACCTCACAGCCACTTAATCAAGACATTGTGCTGTTGACTCCTTTGCGGCATTGCATTTCCCTCAAAGTCATTCTCTCTCTCTCTCTCTCTCCGTCTCATCTAATACAATAAAGATCGCGGATTGTGGCAAATGCCCAGGAAAAACCTTAAAGATTTCATAAACTCTCCGCGCGCGCGATGAAGAGTTCCTTTTGTCTTCTCTCTTTCCCTCTCTATAATTACAACTTTGCGATTAATATCATATTTCTTCGGCAAAATCTTTCTCCCTTTCTTCCCTCGCCGTCAACATTCTTGTGCCCAGTGCAAAACTTTTGCTTTTTATTACCTTTTATGTCTCATCCTCTCCATTCTGGTGCGCCTGAAATTGCCCCACAGCTTTAGCTATATCTTTCCTCTAACACACAACTCTTTTTTCAGCAGTCTCAAAATTCTCAGAATTGTAGCTTTCGTGATTATTCTTTTTTCCCCAACTCAACCAAATCCCTCCCCAATATAATGCACAATCATCTAAAAACGAATACCTTCTTTAAGCGACCTTTCTGCCTTCCTCTTTTTCCCATTTTCATCATCTTTTTTTTTATCTACAGACCAAAGGAGTCTTTTGGGTGAACATCGTAAAAAGAAAACAATCTACTCGAAAGGTATTTTCTGCAATGCAAAATTTATATGGGTTGCCTTTGACCAGGGATATAAAACATAATAACACTTCTTCAACACGAAATGGACTTCAAGTCATGGATGTTAAAAACATGTCCAATAAATTGCCAATATATTTAGATATATTGTCATTCGTTTCACTCTAAGAGAGAAAAAAAAAACAAGAATATTAATTAAAGAACATTGGAATAAGATTGCAAAGGTAAGAGCTAAAAATAGAAAAGTGAATCGTTAAAGACTTTGTATCAAAGATAACAGGGCATCTCAAGTGAAGATTGTTGTCTAACCAACGTCATGAATCCCACCGGATAAATATCATGTGGTTTTTACACCTTAAACCATCAATGAATAATTATCTCTATATTTTATGGTATGAAATTACATGTGTAGTTATTACAAATTTCTAAGGATATCGTGATTAATAGACAATCACATCATTTAGTTTACTGTATAATTTCCTATTCCACTGTCAATGCAAAAACCACTGAATGAAGAACAAACAATTAAATTATAGTCAATGAAGTCATTAGCCATGAAGCATTAATCTAAATTAGCACATGAAGACACCTTCGGTGAGGCACATGCTTTTGCCGAACTATTTGGCATTGAGTGAAAGTAAATCTGCCAATTTCACTTTCATGGCCAAAACAAGAATCAAAAAATTGCAAAACAACTGTTGAGCTAAAAAAAACCCCTTCGATTGAACCGGAGATTAAGAACCCTGAATCGTGGATAAAAACTATTTGTCAAACATTTTATAAAAATTATACTTGTCACGCAGAGATTCAAGTGAATGTCTGCGTGTGGGCACTTTTAGGCGAAGAAAAAAATCTCCAGTCCACCCACAAAAAATTCGTGTGCGAAGCAAAATGAAGAAATATCGATTCATTTGGTGATTTTCTTCATTCCTCCTTGGCCACTTTGTCAAGAAATTCACACACAATATGTACGATCATCTCCCGATGGTCATTTCATCAACAATAAGAGAAAAATTATCATCCAAATTATTCCATTTCGTGCCACGTAGGTGGAGCAATTAAATGAGATCATTGTGCTCCTCATCAATTTATCTCCGTGCGCGCTGTTTTCGCTCATTCTCAAGGCACATTCATCAGTGGAATGACCATCGGGGAAAAAAATCGCCCAGGAAGAAGATCGCGAGATGGACATTAGAGACACGGAGTCGAGATGCTGTGCTCAAGCATTATGTGATTTATGATTGACTGTTAATCAAGAGGAGTTCACATGAAATGCTCAATTCCTCAATTTATTTCGTTTATTAAATTTGCCTTTTTTACTCTCACTCACTTCATCATTTTTTCTTATAACCTCAACAATGTATCATTTTTGGCGGTGCGCTTATTATGCGTTAAATTAAACAATTCACCCATCCGCTCAATTGTCTAAAAACCTACAAAGTTAGAAATATCATCCACATAAAATTCTTCATGACAGCCCAAGAATAGACCCAAGAACACCTTTTTGTCCCATTCTAATACCTTCGCGGGCTTTTTCTTGCATGTGACTCGATCGAGTATAATGAAATTCAATCTCATGCGTCTGTTCGTGTGGGAGTTTTGGCGACCTTTAAGCAAACACACCGTGAGCTTTTGTGTTAAATCTCATTCCTCTATAAGAATCCCACCTTCTCTCCCGCAAAATTCACCACTTTTCGCATTTAGAGAAATTAAAAGCCCGCAATGTTATTGCTGCATAAACTTGTCATTCGGCTGAAGACATACAATTAGTCAGAAAGCCGAATGGAATTGCAATAATTAGCCATAAAACGACCTTGACAAGTGGGCAAAGGAGTAATAATTGAGTGAGGCATACTAAAAACACCTCCAAGATTATTAGCACTCACTTTGGCTTACGCGAATTCTTCTTGCCAACTCTCTTCGTCTTGAGAATAATCAGAAACCAGATACTTTTTCTGCATTTAGTCACACAGCAAAACAATGACCACAGATTGTGACAAATGGGAAAGGTATAAAATTGAGTAGAAAATTTATTATTAAATAATTCCATCGTCTCACGATAGGAGATTGTCTCTTATGCCTCATGATGGAATAACGAGTTTTTTGCACCACGCAAAAACGCCCCCGAAATTATTTAGCTCTTGCCTTTGACTCTCCGAAACTGTCTCTCCTGTTCTTGATCGTACACACACGATTGTCAGAGAGAAACAAGTAGAAATACCCACGCGACCAGCAACTTCATACTGACTTGGGAGAAACCTATATAGTCAGCTGGAATTATAAAAATCGATCCAATTAATTCAGCTGCGAACGCGCGCGCTAAACTCCTTCACGGAAACTGAGATTCTTGTTCTCCAGACCCTCAACTCTTTGTCTCACCCATGGCGCCGCACAAGCAACAACTTGTCCGAGAAACCCTCAAAAGGCTGGCATAACACACCGATATTGTGTTGTGGAAGAGGAAATTAATCAACGACTTTTCTCTCTCTGAATTCACTCTCCGATAAGTGAAATTACCACAGACTCCTTCACTGCAATAAATTCATCTGCAAAAAGGGCGAAGGTGCAAGCGATTTGCAATATGCTGCATGAAAGCACTGGTAGAATTACTATAATTATCTGCCATTTTTGCTAAATCAAAATTCCATATGTGCCGATGACTAGAAGAAATCTTTTTCTTGAGAATTCACTCACTTTCTACGGCGCTAAATCGCTCCATTGCCGATCTTGCCAAAAATCAATTACAGTAATTCCCACTCACAACTCGAGACAAATCAAACTGCAGCAATTAAAAGAACCTGTGTTCAAGAACACAACTGCACTTTTCTGCCTGTCCCTATAAATTCACTCAGTGTCATTCTTTAACGCGTTTTTCGCTGCAGCGACACATTTTTTTCCACGCCAACCACTGTTCGCCAGACGGCCAAAAAAAGCTCATCCATCGGTAATAATTTATCGCAGGGAATGACGTGAGTTTAATATATAATTCCCGCAAAAGACTGCTGGCAGAGCAAATAAAAACCCCTGGGCAATTAAACGGCAAAAATGCCTTAATATCAAATTTGGGGAGTGAAAGATCATTTAATGAGGAACACATTAAAAATTCACAAAACCCCAGGAATTCCGTGTGGTCAGAATTTTTCACGAAAACAGCACACAATCCCAACGGACCACATTTCTCTTGGTAGTTTTTATTAAAACAAATAATTGTTCATGCTGTGTAAGAATGAGGTACAAGATTAAAAGGCCACATCAAATGGCGAAACGCCTCAACATCTCAATAAATATTCATATTATGTACCGAGATGGAGAAGAAAGAAGTTTACACACGCATGATCTTGTAATTGATCTCAATTCCTTAAAGATCTTCACCAGCGGCAAATTTTGCATGCTAAGAGAGGGTAGTTAAAAAATTATTGTCCAGAAATATTTGCTGAAATACCTTTTTCATGTCTCTTTAATAACCATGCACTTGTTATGCAGCTGTAAAAATATGCTTTCATGCAAAAACTCCAAAGTTCGCATCATCACAAATATTTCACAAGAATCTCAGCAAAGAATTGTGTGCAGAGATAAAACTTAACGAAAACTCATTAATTCAATAATATTTAAAACACGGTGCGCACATCGATCGCGATCTTGCCTCTCTCATCTGCTTGATTTATTTCGCCGGCCTTGCGCCACGGCAAAATTAACCGACACCATCAGCCTCTCGAGTGCGAGCCTTTCCTCACCCCAACTCACGGTCAGATTAATATGTTTAAAAATCGAATTTGATCTCCATGCCCACCAAATGGCGCATTGCATGGAAGTTGGAAGAGGGCGGCCGCACATTCGCCTGAATAAGTGAATATTGAGGGAATCAATGAGTTGCTCACTGGCGAATACAAATTGTGGGTGTTTTCCATCCTCCAGCTCGCAATTCAAGGTGGGAAACCCAACATCACGAAATCTCACTTTCCACTCAATCTTTTGGGGTGGTATTGACCACGTTTTTCAATCTCGCCCGCCGCTCTACCTCAATTTTATCCACACCAGACACTCTCAAAGCCCATGACCGCCAAGGTGAGAGACGGTCTCAGGCCTGGAGTGGATTCCTCTATGTCGATTTGTAATTATCACGCAGAATATTTCAGTCAATGAACTCACAGTGAAAAAAATCCATCTCAGTCCAACCACACAGGCACTAAAAAAAATAGCATGATGAGAATCAACTCATAAGGTAGAGTTTAATAAAATGTGACAAATCCTTGTTATGGGCAGTGATAATAAATTGTGCGGAATAAAATAACTAATCTTCTCAGAGTGACAACACTTAACTTAATGCTTTTGATCTTCCTCCGGACTTTAAATTACAGGTTGTGGGTGGCTTTTCTTTCGCCTCACTCAACCCTGGATTTCGCGCAATAAACCCAGAGGAATGGCATAAGACAAAGGTGAAACGTTTAAGTCTAGAGAGTTATAAATCCCGAGAAAATCCTACACAAATATCTGATTACGGATTTATATAAAGTATTCTTCCAGAAAATCAAATAAAAATAGATAAAAGGCTCATTCTTAGAATCATCCTAACTTCATTATAATTTTCTAAATTCAATTATAGCACCGTTATCGTGCTGATTGAATCTGGTAGAGCAAATATTTGACTCAACAGAGATCGAAAGCGAGCGTGGGTCGCGCGAAAGTTCAACCAATATTAGTCTTGTCCGGAAGAGAATAGCAGCAGAACAATAACTCTCGTAGAATGTAAATACAAATTACCGATTGCCAGTTTGTGGCGCCATCTAAGAAAAGCCATTCTTCACGCAGAAAGACTTAATTACTCCGTGGTTAAGGCCAAATCCTAATCAAACTCACTGCGAATCCTCCCGTGATACATCAGTAGTGCAACTTATGGCCTCGCAGTGCAGCGAAGAGAGCAAAAAATCGGCGCTAAGAGCTATTAAATTGTACTCCTATATCCGTGTAATCTTCTCACTTGGCCGTTTCGGAGGCGGCAACACAGCGACTCACAAATCACGTGGGTAGATCTCCACTTTTACTCTTTAGAAGCATCTTACAACACACCGCAAATGACCTCAGCGGCGACTGCTGGAGTTGCAGAATCACCCATCGAGGGTGTCTCTGTTCAATTTTCATGCCCTCCGGCCATATCTCATCTCCGTGATTTATCATCCGACACTGAAAAAGTGCCCTTTTTCCACCGCGCCCAAGACACTTGAGGTGAAAATACGAGGCTTCTGCCACACTGTGACGAAGAGCTGATCATAAATCACGTTGAGATTGCCAGCGAAATTTTTCTCCAATACCTCCTCTTTTCCACCCAAACTTCACCCTTCATGCACAGTCACTGTGTCTCGCGCAGAGGCCAGAGATTGTGATCTATTCTGAAATAAATTGGCAAAAAGTGAACAGTCCCAAGAATGTCGCCTTCAATTTCTCGCGGGATCCAGAATGTGATTTATTGGCGAAATATCATGAACTTCAATATAGCAACAGATTGTTCTTCTCACATTGGAATGGCTTTTGGGATAGAAAAAAGTGTGAGGAAAGAGACACGATCGCACAATAAAAAAAAAATCCCACACAAATTGACAGAAGAAATTAATAAATGAAGTCTATTCATGGGAAAATGTTAGGACAATCCAAAAACACCGCCCAAAACCTCATTTGCAACACATATGCAAAAATTGTTGACTCAGTGAGAGTCTTTTCCATTTCTCATTTGCCAAAATACCGCATTGCGAAAGGTGTTTTGTCAGTGAAAACCACGCAAAATTTTTATTAAATCATTTAGGAAATTTCCCAAAAATTCAATATATTTACGTTCATCGTCAATTTCTGTCCTTCACCGTTGAGAATTGTTCTGGAATCACGAAACAGAGAAAACGCATTTCGTGTTACAAATCCGTGACCAAATTCTCAATCGCTCCTCCACAATTTCGAATTTTTCAATGGCCAAAATCCGTCTGAATACTGATAATCTCAAATTGACCAATTAAAATGGAAATTCTTGCAAATTCTCCGCAACATTTTGGCAATTGAACGCCCCAGCTTAAGATTCTGCATCAATGTGCCACGATCGCCACGATTTATCATTGCGAGTCGCGCAACTGAGAATCTGGATTAGAAGGCAGGGGCGTAGTAAATTTTACATCTCGTCCAGAAGCATTTCTTGGGCAGCGCGATCTTTTCCGGATGATATTAAAGTATTGATCTCATTCTTAATTGCAACACATTTGCGAGATACATAAATTTCTCTAAATTCCTGCAATCAAAGACAGGTTTTCCGGGTGCCTGTTTTCTAATTTCGGCGTTCCTGTCTGTCCAAGGAATTCTTCCTACGCCCCTGTTTGGAGCCCCAGCAAAATAATTTATTGATCATTGACGGAACGGGAATTAATCCCATTCTCTCGCGCTGGGCTCTCTCATTTATCGGCTGGAATATGTGGAGCCATTTGTTAGCGAAAAACTGAGCTCACCTGGGAAAGTTATCGCCAGAGTGTCATCGCGAAGCAGGAGAGTCCACTCTCTGTGAGAGATTGCGAAATGCCTCATCTTTCATCACCACCGTGAAAATGGCCAAGAGTTGAAGAATCTCAGAGATGATTGGAGTCGTGGGGGCGCATAAGTTGATTTTACCATAAACGTCTTCTGCAGATTGTCGCACAGCTCCGATGCCTTGGATTCCACGAAGAGATCCATGATGTGGCAGATGTGCTTCGGTATTTTCCCAGGGCGATTGCTCCCTTATCAGTTGGCTTCTGGAGCAAACATGGCCACCGGACACTGTCCATCGGCCTGGAAGAGCGAAAGAAAATCACCACCAGAGATAATACAAATGAAGCCATCAATTCCCAAATGATGCTTTAGCTCGCGGGCGGGAAGAGATGACGAGAGGAGGCAAAATACAAGATAAAATGCGAGCTAATGAGATGAAATATGCTAATTTTGGCGGCAATGAGCCACCCAAAGAATCATCACTTCGCGCGGAATTCCTTCATCAACTCGATGAAATTTCTATTCTAATGTCTCCATTAGTTATTTAGAACCATACATGAAAAGAGAATTTGATGATTTTCACCAAGATAAGAATTCTAGAACGGGAAATTATAATGCGCGAAACGAAAACTTACCACTCACCGACTCACCCGCCCTCTATGAGAACGCGCGAGAGACAAACATAGACGGCGGATGCAGCGACACCCTGTGGAGTCGCATTAGGAATATCGACCAAAACAAGGCAAGAGGGGAATCAGCTGTTTGGTGAGAAAAGTGAGGATTCTGGTGGATTCTTCGGGCAGGACGCCAGTGAATGTGTGTCAATTAGCAGTGGACGCTACACTAATGATGAAGGTACACTTTCGGGAGCAATACGGCGCGAAAGGGAATGAGATTCTCTATGTGACGCCAGCAGGTATTCTGTTATCGTGTTTTGTAGGCTTCCTGGACATTTTCTCACACTAATCCCCATTGCAGACTCTATCACGGACCAGGGCACTATTGTGCGAGTTCCATTGCATCCTCACAAGGAGCGCAGTAGCTTGATCAGGCTCTTCCAGCAGATCTTCCTGCCGCAAGGATATCCGGACAGCGTGAGTGAAGATTATCTTGAATACCAGATCTGGGACACTGTGCAGGCGTTCTGCAGCACCATCACCGGCACCCTCACCACTCATGCAATCCTGAAAGGAGTGGGAGTGGGCAGTGACGCTGTGAATCCGCTCTCTGCCACCGTGACGTGGGTGCTGAAGGACGGCTCAGGACATCTGGGGAAGGTTCTGTTTGCGTGGTGGAAGGGCTCGCAGCTGGACTTGGATTCAAAGAAGTGGCGCCTGCGGGCAGACGTGCTGAATGACGTGGCAATGGGAGTGGATCTGTTTGTGCTTCCTCTCTTCCCGCAAGCCTCAACGTACATCCTGTGCGCCACGACCACAATGAAGGCCATCGTTGGAGTCGCCGGAGGAGCGACCAGAGCCGCTCTCACGCAACACCACGCAATCCGTGGTAATTTGGCCGACGTGGCGTCGAAAGACAGCGCTCAGGAGACGTGCGTAAACCTCGTGGCATCGATTGTGGGTCTTTTTCTTCTGCAGCTCATCCACACGCCCACTGTTCTGTACTCCTTGTTCTCTATCGTCACTCTACTCCACATGTACGCTAATCTGCGGGCGGTGAAGTCTGTGTGCTTGCGCACCTTCAACGAATCCCGCCTCCTCATCACACTCGAGGAGTACCTGAAATCCGGCCGAATGCTGTCTCCCAAGGAAGTCAATCGGCTCGAGAGAGTGACAATCGGACAGACGGTCTCTCTGTCACACAAAGTGTCCATCGGGCTGTCAGCGAAACATCTCGTGGATCACTACAAGACATCCCACGAGGTGGACAACATCATCACGGGATTCGATAACAGCGATCGCTTCATCATCGCCGAGACGAGTCGCACGATAGGGATTTATCTGCATTTCGACGCGAGGCCTCAAGATGTGCTGAAGGCGTATTTCTATGCAGTGTCATATCTCCAGGAGGAGGATCACTCGCATCAGGTGCGCCAGCAGAAGTACTGGGAGATCCAGACCAAGTGGAATGAGTTCTACAGTCTGGCGCAGACTGAGGGCTGGCACACGGCGTCCCATCTCATCTTCGTGGATGAATTCCGGCTGGATTGGCGGATATGAAAGGAGGCCACGGAGACACACAGTGTCTCCGGGAAGTTGAAGCCACCGCAGAAGTTCCAGAGGTTCCAATTCTAGTAGTTTCAGCGCTTCTCGCAGACTTCCTTCGCACATCTTCGGTATCTTCCTTCGCTGGCAATATACTATGCGCCTTCCGGTCTCCGCTGACCACTTCCTTCGCGGGCACAGTCGGGACAATTCCGTATATTATGATATATATATAGTGTTTTAGTAGAAGTGACACGTAGTGGCAACAAGTGGCTTAATTCGCTAGAGAGAAACGGCAGAGGTGTGACGTCAAATTAACGTAGAGCAGATTTAATAGCAATTTTGGAGAAGTATATAGCTATCGCTAAAGAGAATTTCAAATCTAGACAATGAGATACATATGAGAAAACATGATAATTAGGAATCATATCAATTTTTCGAGGTAAAATTTCCCATCGCAAAATCGTGAAATTCTCTGTTGTGTTTCTTTTTTTTTTTAGGAATGAGACTTTGTCTAGTCTTAGATCATTTTGTCAACTTAAATGTGATACCTTTTGAGAAGACACACCTTATGCCCGAATTAGGGGCAAAGGAGGTGATTGAACTTTTGTCCTAGAAGTAAATAGTGCACACGATTTGTGAATTTTCCAGCATTTATTGAACATTTTCACTTACCTTAGTGAATAAAGAGAAAGTACACACGTAGCCGTTGAGTGTGATTTTTGAAAAGCGATATGTGTCCACCTATCGGGATCATTTGGAGGCAAGAAGTAACCGGAAATCATTTTCTCAATCTTCAAGTTATTTTCCATCACTTCGCATAACTTCTTCTGATAGGATTATCAAGCGTCACGTCAGAGCGGTAAAAAAGTTAAAAATGTGTCGCACTTATCAGCATTCCGATAAATTCTCTATCAACTTGCTCAAAAATTCACATAAAAATAGAGGAAATGAGCTTGTCTTATCGCTGTGAACACCGTGAGTGAACACCTATTAATTAAACAAACGACTCAATGTTTATTTGAACAAGTGAGAGTCCACGAACTTCATGAGACAGACAAAATTGTTTGAGAATATCAATTAAACGTCGCGAAAAGCTAACATTTTGCCAAAATTTTCATGTGTTGAAGCACTAGAGAAATCCGCATAATTAGAACGTCTCTATTTCAAGAAGACTGCAGAGAATCCTTCGTCATAAAGAACGCGGTGTCATTGGAAAGCGCCCAATGTTGAAGATATTGTAATTTCTTATTACTTTGGAAACAGCATTTCGCAAAAACAAGTTGTTTTTCCAAAGACCTTCTGATGATGATTCCGTGTGAAATGCAAATACCATCAAACAATGCCTGAACCAATTGTTTTCTCATCGCCTCAATGTGAATGAAAAACACTTTCATCTTCTATATATATATATATATATATATATGGTGGAATGTTTATTTCATACTTTCTATTGAAAAAATCACAATATGGTACAGTTTATTAAATTCAACACAAAATATCAACAAATTGTAAAAACAGTAAAAAGATATCCGCTCGAAATATGAGAGCTTTTTCCACCTCAATTCCGAGGGTCATTTCTTCAAAAAATGATCATTTATGGAGCACCAACCATGAAATTAAGTTATCATCCTCAAAATAATACACCTCATTACATATATACACATACAATATTGGGGATTTGCATTGTATGCCCAAAATGTTGTCGGAAAGTGACGCTGTGCGCAAAGAATTGCGAGCAGGACCTGTAACACGTTCTTCCAATCTACGTCGAATGCTAATAAAATCTCTCGGATAGCACCTGAACACACCGGACGTCGATCACGGATGAGCCACGTCAAATGATCAAGGAAAATACACAACATTCACAGTCAACAAACCAACCCTGTCTCGAGTTCCCAGGCCCAGTCGAGCGGTACGTCCTTCAGGCCAGGTTCAGATGCAGCTGCTCCACGATGAAGAGCCTGAGGATGCGGTTGAGGTTCTCCACGGCCACCAAGTCCACGGCCGCCAGGTCGTCCGTGGCCTTGTGCCACACGTGCGGGAAGGGGCTGGGGATGACGTGCAGAATGGGGACGCCGCGGCGCAGGAAGGGAATGTGGTCGTCTTCGATGTTGGCTGCCCAAGTGTAGGGCTGGAAGTACTTGGCCGGCTTCTTGTCCGCCACGGAGCTGTAGCTGTAGTTGTCGAGCATCCCCGTGCGCAGGAGACGGCGCTCGCCCATCATCAGGTGATTGTACTGACGCTCGGTGGTGGTGAAGTAGCTGTAGAAATTGGGATCGGGAGCGCCCAGCAGGTCCAGCAGCACCAGCACTTCGATGCGCGGCAGGAAGCCCTCCCTCTCCCAACGTTTGGCCAAGTGGCGCGCCCCGTAGATGGAATCCTTGTCAGACCACGTCTCGAACGCCTCCTCGCCGTCAAAGAAGACCACCATCAGGCCGACATCGTGTCGCGGCGTCTCCTGCAGCTCCTGATGCAGCGTGTGCGCCAGGTTAATGATCATGGCGCACGGCACGGCTGAGTCTGTGGCGCCCAGGAAGTCAAAGTCCCGGAAATACTTGCTATCGTAGTGCGCGGCCAAAACGATGTACTTGGACGCATTGTGTGGCGTCGCGATGATGTTGTGGAATGTCAGAACGCCCATGTTGGGCGTTGCGTCCTCGAAGGAGTCCGTCGAGACGCTCCAGCCCAGGTCTTGCAGCTCCTGAATCATAAAATTCCGCACTTTCTCATGTCCGGCGGAGCCCACGACGCGAGGAATGCATATTTCGCCCAGCACGCGGCTGAAGTGCTCCGTGTCACTACTCTTCAGTATCCTATGCAACTCGTGATCTTGCAGCTGTTTAGGCTCCCGCTCCCTACCAGCAACCTGTGAAAAGCCCCACAATCAATGGCAAATCCCCATCACAGCTTTCACTCTTCCTGTCAACTCACCTCCACCAAAAGCGATCCGCAGAGCAGAAACAAGCCCACCACCAGAGACACTTCCATCGTGTGCACCTTCTCCAATTCCCACTGACTCACTGCAGCTCACAATTCAATGGCGATTTTGCAGATGTCTATTGAGAAAACATGGGAAATATTGTTGCCCCCACAAAGCAAAAATTCCCTTTCGTATGAGACTGAACATCGAAAACATCGCCATCAATGACGTCACGATCGGATTGTCAAAACATAACCTCCCAAGGTTGTGGCGCTGTGGGGTGTTTTTCCTGTGTGTTTTTTCGTGTTTTGCTCCCTCTTCCCCCATTTTCACCCCGCAAATTGTGCAAAAATCCTTCATTTGAGGAGATGCATATCTAATTCTCCAGTGTGTGAAGTTTGCAAAGGTGAAATATGTCCGCAAGAAAGAAGGTAAATGAACCTACCTGAATATAAACAAATCAACTTTTATTATTTCTTTCCTAATTCCTGTAATTTTTGCAGTCCACAACCAGCTCAGAGTCTTCTGGATCAAGTTCTGAGTCATCCTCAACTAGCGGAGGAAGCTCTAGTGGATCTGACTCTGGATCTTCGAGTTCCGATGATTCAGACACTTCCAGCTCCCAGCGGAGTCGTGCTTCAGGCTCAGGATCTGTGTCCCGTCCAGACCCGCCAAAGGCAGATCCCAAGTCAAGTCAAAATGTTAAGGTGGCACCACGAAGACGGAGCTCTGAAGTGCAGAAGTCTCTCCAGCAAGCGAAACTTGATGAAAAGCCACCCGGAAATAAGTCCAGAGATCGAGTGGTGTCCGTCAGCACCACGAAAGTCATGCAGCAGAAGGTGGCAAAGAACTCTGCGTACTCAAGTGATGAGGACATCCCTCCACCGAAGAATGCAGCACCGGTTAAGAAGGCGGGAGGACAAGAAGTGGGGAAGAAGAGACCAATTGTGCAGACAAATCGACCGAAAAACATCTCCAACAGCGTTCCTCCGAGCACTGGAGGCAAAGCCCCGCCATCGGTTCTTAAGCAGCATCAGCAATCGATGGGAGCACTCTCGAAAGTCGTCGCGGGCAGTAAAGCAGTTGCCGCTGGAGTGAAATCCACTACACAAACCACCAAAATTGCTTCTGAGAAGCACACCAATCAAACCTCGAAGGTGAAGAAGAAGAGCATCTTCTCTCCGGACAACTCTTCAGACACTGATGATGCCACAGCGACGAAGAACTCCCGGCAATCGGCAAAGAGCAAGCCAACCGGAAAAGTAGCTCCACAGAAGACAACTAAAGCCACTCCTGCTCCACAGAAAACCACCCGGAAGATGTCGAGCAAGAGTTCAGCTGAATCTTCGGCTACAACAACTACTACCACGGATGATTCCAGTGATAGTGAGAGCGAAAGTGCCTCTACTGAGGATTCTAGCCCGCCGGCGAAGAAGATGGCGATAAAAAAGGCTGCTCCCAAAGCCGCTAACAACTCTGTCAAGGGTCCGGAAGAGACGGTGAAGAATCATATTAACACGGATTCTGAGACAGAGGCAAATAACAAACCTACAATAGCCAGAAAACTGACAAGATCCTCAAGTACGAGGAAATCCAAGCATTTGACGGGAAAGGCGCCATCAGAGACAGACTCTGAGTTTGATGAGGGCAAGAGGCAGTCCTCAAAGAGTCCTGTGAAGAAGGCGCCTGTGTCCAGCAAGGGAAAGACTAAGAATACGACAAAGCGCCAGGACACAGTCAAAGTCAACAACAATACCACTCCTCCGGCGCCAATGGAGAGAAAGTGTCCCTTCGAGGGATGCGATTCTGCCGGACACTTGGGTGGGCAGTTTGATAAGCACTTCACCATTGAGGCGTGTCCTCTGTATCACAATTTGACTGTGGCTGAGGCGAAGCTGGCGTATGTGGAGCGGAAGAAGCGAGATGACGAGCGCCGAAAGGCCATGATGGCTTATGATTCCACAAAGAAAGTCCCCACGCCGGAGCAGAAGGCTTACTTGCAGCGGATTCGCGAGAGCAGGGCCAAACACAAGGGAATCCCGTCGACAAACTCACACGCGCCGATTGGGGATAAGAAGAAGGAGCCGAAACTAGAGGGGATCGTTTCTGAGTATGATCTGCAATTGTTTAGAGACGCCCAAGCTCTGGCTGCTGAGAATATTGAGAACGAACTGAAAGCCTTGCCGGCCAGCAAGGGAACGAAGTACATCTCGATGGGGAAGTACAAAATGGATGTGTGGTACCAATCGAAGTATCCTGAAGATGCCGCGCGATTGCCCAAGCTGTATCTCTGCGAATTCTGCTTGCGCTATCAGAAATCCGAGGTGGGCATGAAGAGGCACGCGGCCAAGTGTGTTTGGCGACATCCGCCCGGAGATGAGATCTACAGGAAGGGAAAGTTGGTGAGTATAAAATGTCTTTGGCTGATGATTGAGAAGTGGAGTAATATTTGGGGACAATTTCAGGGCGTGTGGCAAGTGGATGGCAGAAAGAACAAGATCTACGCTCAAAACTTGTGTCTCCTGGCCAAGTTCTTCCTCGACTACAAGACTCTGTACTACGACGTGGAGCCTTTCCTGTTTTATGTTATGACTCTGGCAGATTCCGAAGGTTGTCACACCGTTGGATATTTTAGCAAGGTAATATTGGCATCTTTATCTACATATTTCAATGTTTAGTTTTGAACGAAGATAATTTTTCCGTGACTCGAGATGATCAGGAAAGAAGTCAATATTTATTCTCAGTACTTCTTTAATCAATTTCCCAGCTTATTTGTTGAACTTATCAAAGTGTTCTCTGTTTTCTCAACTGCCAGTCCAATTTTCCACATTTTTTTTTGCTACGAGTTTACGAAGACTAGAACAAAAAATTTAATCGAATTCTGAGGAACCACAAAGAATGGCTGCTTCCGCGAGCTGATTTCATTTGGACAAGCGAAATTGTATTATTCACCAGGATATTCTGTGATGGTTGAATGGGAGTGGGTGAGAAAATTTCGTGCTTCTGCCCATCAAGAGTGATATCATGAGGAGGGCAAATTATCTTTTCCCGTCTGGAGCTTAAATTTTTGTCTGGAACAAAAGGAGATTTCTCTCGTCGCTCTCAGTTAAATATGCATGGAATATAAAAGAACACACCCAAGCTTGAGGGTGGCAAGTGCGGTGAGTCCTGGGGAATTGTGTGAAGGTAAAAAATAGGCACCAGCGTGCCTGTGTGTATTCAAATGTCTGATAATTAAGTGAGGGAAAAGTGAGTTAATCTCTGTGTAATCGGTGAGTGGAAATAAATTGTGAGGAGCTCACCGAAATCCAGGTGCGAATTGGCAAAGGATGGGAGCACATAAAAGAGCATTGCCCTCTCGATGCCACTCTCGAAAACCCTCTCCTTGCTTGAAGCCTCTGTCCCACTCGCACGTGGGGAATATCACTCAATCATAATCTCATTGTTTCCATGATGAACATTTGTACCATCTCAGCACGGCGCGCCATTGTGCAATATGTATCCTCTTTTTCGATGGCAATTCAATTGATTATGCGGTGCAGCGCTGGGGACGCCGTGCGGGACTCCCTGGATGGGTGGCTGAATGATTGAAGGCGCGTGGATACGAGGAGCGGGGATGGTCCGCTGCCAATGGAACATTTCATTGGGGAAATTGCAGGGGTTTACTACAATTACTCTCCACAATACTACAAATCTTTCCCTCTGCTTCTACACTGTTACAAATCAGGGCTCACAGGACCTCTTATCCTCTCTCATTGGAAGAATTCAGCAAGTGCTTTCCGCGCCAAGTGTGCTTTTTTAGGATGGTTTTTCAGCATTAGTCCACTAACCCGGGAAAATGTGTGGACTACCCAAAAGTTCTGAGGATCTCCTTGGGCACATCACATCGGTCCGTTTCTCCCAGTGCAGAATACGAGGGAGTCTCTGGAGTGGCTGGGAAGTGCGCGGGGGTTGCGGTGTGCTCCACTGTAAGTGTGTGTGCTTATGAGGGGGACGCGTGTGTTCTCACTGCAAAATTGCCTTCCCCGCGCGTCTGCCGGGGCTCAATGTGTGTTTTGTGTGTTGTCTGGCATGTGAGAATTTGTGGAGTTGCTTGCTCCTGCGGATGCTGGTCGTTGAACTTTCCCGTCCTAGTGACTCTCAGTCGGTCTCCGCTGCAGAAGCAGTCTAGTCGCGGTCGGTCGGGTGGTGTGGGGAAGTATGTGGCGCAGCCGACAGAGGGTGTGCGCTCGCGTATTGGCTGCTGCAGAGAGGGTGATCTCTGTCGTGTGTCTCTCTCGCCATCTCTGTCCACCATCTGCATTCATCTCCGGCGATGCGCGGGTGGGGTATGTCTCTCGCCTATGTTCTCCCGAAGTATATGGATTTTTGTGGACCCGACTGGGGTTGGGCGATTACATGGACGCTGTGGAAATGCTGCCACAATCCCTAGCCCAACTTGAGGAGTGGTGATGCTCAAAAATTTTATACCAACCAGAGAATATAAGCTTTTTCGGTGAAAACACCCAAAGTTCAATCACCTCTGGATGCGATACTCTATAGAGTTTTCCCACCACTTCAGCGGCACATTTTCGATAGTTTTCCCAAGTAAAAAAAATCTGTTTTCTCCCTGGCTAAATCGAGAGTCAGTGGGAAAAACCCAACAATAATAGCTCCAAAATTACCAATGGCATTCATTGCCGGTGGCAAAATAGGAATGCCATTATTCTTAAATCATTCATTATCGCACTAATGTGACCATTGGAATGAAATTATACTTTTAATTGCTGCGTATTACATTTTACAAACTGCCGTATTTGTGCAATTAGTTCTCATTATGCCTGACTACATGGTCATTTACCTGTGGCCTCTTCTTCCCAAAATGCCATTTAATATGGCAGAGAGAGGGCGAAAAAACCGAACTCAATAAATTATCAGCACCAGTGGCTTCAGCACAACATGAAGGAGCAAATTGATTTCAGTTGGAATAATTTGAATAAGTAATTGGGGTAGTAAATTTCTGGAAAAACATTTGTATCCTTCTGGTCAAATCTGGCACGTGGATTTATATTGCGGAAGCACGAGATTCAGAGTCTCGTGCTCCCGCGAAAGATATGCTAAAGGTGTTGGCTTTTGCAATGTGCTCACAATGATCTTCTGTCTTCGGTTTATTTGGGCATTAATCAAGCAAGTCTACGTCTAATGAGGATGCACTGAACTGACTAGCAGTCTCAGATTGCATCGTAAGCATTCTCCACTCATTAATCGAAGGCGAGATTGGTCTGCCAACACCGCATAAACATTAACAAATGGTGGTGTGTGGAAGTGTAAGCACCTTGGCTTGGGTTGTTGTTGTATAATTTTCATCAGGCACGATCACAAATTGCACTGTCAAAGGCTTCCAGGTTGATCATCATTATCATCACACTGAGGAATATTGTAATTATGTGCATCAACCGATTATCCCCTTTTTGGCACATAATGCAATTACACATGGCATTACATGAGCCTGAGGGTGAAGATGAGGCTGTTTTTCTTCGAATAAATTTGCCAACATTAAAACTCTCGGCAGTTGTGGCCAATGAAAGTCTGTGGTTTTGTGGCTTGACAGAAGGATCGAAGGATCATATTTGCATGTGTGGATTTTCTGGGGATTGAAAGGGGCAAAAAAATGCAATAATAGTGGCAAATTTGTGATGTTGGGTTTCAAGAGGTCAACTTAAAATTTATCATGTCTCTAATTGAATTTCTACGCATATAGAGATATTTCATTTTTAACTCACTCCTCTGGCCGCACTTTGCTGGCCACTTTCTGGCCACCGTGCGATCGCGGAGTGTTTTTAAGTTGAGAAAAGCAATTGGAGGCAGTTGGACTGTGCTCCCTTAGCCGTTGCCAGCAGGGCGAAGAGAAACTTAGCAGGTGTCAATCGTGTCGTCTTTTTTCTACTCTGGCACTTTTTGCGTCTCCCTAAGTGCCGATCGAGGGCTCTGTAGTCCAGGGATCACATCCAGGTGGCTCATCCCTTCTGTGTTCTATCCTTCGTCATCGGGAGTTCATTGACTGTTCGGCATGGGAGATGAGATATGTATTCCCATGCGTGATCTTGAAATGTTGCTTCACATCTAGGGTGGACTTTCAAGCTGAGCTCTATGATATGTAGATTCAGCTGAGCTGCTGCGCAATCATCCCTCCGTGATCGTTTCCGTGTTGACTCGGCCACTCGGCTGAGCATGAAAAGTTTGCCTCCGGAGGAGCGACGAGAGTAATGAGAAAGAGAGAGAGACAGAGAGGTCCAAACCGCCGTCTCGACATATAAAGTGACGTGATAATTTAGCAAAAGAATAAGAGACACCGCCCGAGACGTTTTGTGTGTGTGTGTGTTTACGTAAGCAAGGCGAAATGCGGGAGAGAGACTCTTCCAAGTGATTCAATCAGACGGATTTTATGTAATATGGAGTATAAGAAAACGACGAAGAAGAGCAGTGTTGTGAAAAGAACAAGGAGAGCGACAGAACCTGTCTGTAATGGAGAAAATGTTGGATGATGGGGAATCGATGTGAGGGATGGCGCATAAGGTCAACAATCTTTCTTCACAGCGTCATCCCAGTGCCACCCACTGCCAGCCACCTTGTAAACTTTTGGCACAAGAAAAAGAGCTTCTCACACCCCCAAAGAAGTCCACCTTTGCAGAATTTGACAAATAAGTCCCCTTCTTCGCTGTGATCCAGCCTTCTCTGGGCCTGTCAAACAAGATCAATTTCTCTTTTGAGCGACACTGACGCGAAGATTGAGTCATAATTGGGAAATATAACTGTGAGCGGTGGATTTCTTTTCTCATCAGCTCTTTTCGGCCGCGAGGAACAATGACCCCGACCCCGAGGGAACAGTTGATGAATTTTATATTAAATCAGTTGACTCCCAAATAACTAGTGCGTTTCATAGAGTAAAATTCAACTCTTTTCACACCTCATGATTTATCTGCATGTTACCTGAGTCCAAACACCATGTTATGTTTCTTTTAAATATCAGACCCAAATTTTGGCTGTTGAGGTGTGAATTTCAAATGAGATATTACCTTCAAGACACCAACACTTTATTTCGATTCACTCATAAAGAATAATTAATTAAAGACTCAAATTAACTCATTATAGTGGACTATTACATACATTAGATGTTGCTGTGTAGGCAAATTTCAACATAATGCCCAAGCATGAGTTATATCTTCCTGGCTGCCCTGGCATGTTTAATACATGTTTGTTGAGTTTTGTAGGGGAATCAGATACTAATCGGATAAGTACAATTCATGAGGTTTCGGGTTAGAGAAATATTTGATTTGAGGAGGAGACGACAAAAGAAAACATTTTGTGTTGAAAATTGCTCAATGATTAATGGTTCACACTCTCTGTGCTGGGAGGAAAGGTTGTGTGTGAGTTCCGTTGTTTTAATTTTGTGATAATTTATTGGGAATCTCGAAGGTGGAATGGTGAGAAAATTTGATGGTACGCAATCTGGGAGAGAGTGGGGGAATTTTGACTTTACTGAAAAATCATTTGCAATATTACCTAATAATTTAACTCTAGACAAGTCGCATTGCATGAGATAAATTCTTTAATATGAAAAATTGAATTTCCCCAGAAAACACAGCGCTTTTCTTAGAAAATCAGAAATATAATTGGGTTCAATATATGTTGTATCCCAATTTGCGTGCAAAGCATAAAAAGATGTAATTGATATTTAATGGCAATTTCCTGGAATTCTCGTGTGAATTCTCTATATATCACATTTCCTTTGTAAAATCAATTTTTACGTCTCAAATGGATCTTCTCTAGAGACAAAGATGAAGAACATAAGTAGGTAATGTCAAATTGTCAATGAATATCCTGACAACATGATATTATGCTCAGAAATAAAGGGAGTGGCGTTGTTCTTTGTTATGTGCTTTTAATCATTAAAAACTAATGCAATTATTCGCTCTACCTCAACTTTTGTGTCGTCTCGTACGTGAGCAAGTTGGGTTGAACGAATTGTCGGATGCAAGAGGAGCGGAGCATCCCGAAAAGTTGCCGGGACTGTGTGATTATGTACCATCCCTGCTAAGGGTGAATGTGATGTATGCGAAGTGGGGTTTCCCGGGGTGCTGCGGCTCTATGTACAGCTCTGGAGTCAGACACATAGGAAGCGTTTGCTCTTGTTGCTTTTACCACTCGCCAGCAGCAGTCTCTCCCGCTTCGCTTTTGATATTTTTTGGGTGGGCGGCAGCGACACCAGACACCTCCATCACCCATCATCCTGCGCCCGCTTGCCGAAAGGGACGGGGACTACAGTGAAAAGCACTCGTGAATCCCGGAGACAGAAAGGTCACAAATGCGCGGAGACAATTGTGGGGTTGGTTTCACGGATTGCGAGTTCCGAGCAAGGCGCCGCGGGTGGAATGTAAATATAGTTATGCCGCATTGATGACGATGAGAATGGATGAAAGACTGTGGAAGGGAATATGTCTTAATGTCGACTGAGCGTGAGATTAAGCTAAGTGACCGGAAAATTTATTTAATTCCCCATTCGCTCAACAGTCATGACGATGTTACGTTTTTATGAAATTCATGGAGGATTTTTCAAAAAAAAAAGAAAAAATTCAATTACCAAGATGAAGAAGTGCGTCAATAACTGTCTGTGTGTATATTGCTAGAGGCCATGGAGAGACTTTGAGATGGCTTCATTAAACGTTCAATTAGCATTTCATTTTCAGGTTCGAAATTTTCGACCGCTTTTCGTAATACCTGGCATACATTCTGGGTTTTTAGAGATCGTCTGTGTAGTGTTCAAAAGTAGCTTTGCAACCCTGACATTCTCCTTGGAATCCACACACATTGGAGATGTCCTTCCATGTGCATGAGACTCTGGGTGAGTTATTGCAAATGGAGGAGAACATTTCGTCTTTCCTCATTAACAATATGTCACAGAGGAGAGGTAGAAAAATAATGCGGTGTAAACCTTGAGCACTTGTTTTACTTAGTTAATTGCCTTACATTTGCACATTATTACAAAGTTTGTACATTTAAAGTTCCCTGTCTGGGTGGAACAAAGAAGTGCGGATTGAATTATAGGTATAGCGGGTTGAAATGGAGACACTATGGCAGAGATTTTCTTTGTCTCATCAGCTAGACAAACACCATCTTTATTTTCCCACTGGGTGGAGATGAGCGAGGGAGAATTAAGAGCAAAGTGGAAAAAGAAGTGTCCTTCTAGAGAGAGAAAGACATGCATTTAATGGTGGAGCAGTGTCATGTCTCTAAATTCTACAAATTGTCGCCATTCTTCAGCGATTTGTACATTTAAAATGCGTCCAGATGGAAAATAATGGATGAGTGCAATTTTGCCCTTCTCACTCTCACAGTGTCGCTTGCATTCAACTCTCTCTCTCTCTTTTTGGCAATGGATCCATCAATTAATCACCCAAGTCATTGGCCTTTTATACAAATCATCAACACAGCTGAGAGTGAGACGACAGCGAGTCAGGGCAGGAGAATGTCAAGATGGGCGCAGAAGAGCAAGACCACCAACGACACAACAAGAGGAAGGAAAAAGAATCATTTTGAATGGAGGAAATGACTTGAGAACAAATGACTGTAATTAACTTTTTGGCGCAATCCAATTAATTTTCACAGTGAGCAAACGGTGGAAGTGAGCTGATAAAATGTAATTTGGCCCCCAAAAAGACGAGAATTGCCCAGGGAGGACGACACAAATATATCAGCCAAATGCATCACACGACAATCAAATTACAGTGGAATATTCTCGGGGCGTGTGTGTTGGAATTAGAGTGAATATTTGTGATCATTAAGTGAGTGATATTACACAAATTGATATTTCAATCTCTGTGCATTTACACGAAGGGGAGGGTGAAAAAATGGTCTGTGATGGAGAAATTAATGGTGCCCGATGTTCAACGGTGTTGCATGCTTTTGTAACGTTTCTTTTCTACTGTTTCACAAACCTCACCACTGATCATCAAGTATTTTTTGGATGATCATGATAAATATTTATTAATGAGTACATTCCACCCTTTTTATGAACAAATTAGACGGAACATGCATTCTGAATGCTACAGAATATTCTCCATTGATGGTTTATTGTATTTTAAGCTAAATTCAATTGCTGAACGTAAGATGTTTTTTTTCTTCTTTTTGCAGGAGAAGAATTCCTTCCTCAACTACAATGTGTCATGCATCCTGACTCTGCCACCGTACCAGAGGAAAGGATATGGACGTCTACTCATTGATTTCAGTGAGTATTGCAAAAGAGCATCCTTAATCATGTTGAAGGCTGAGTACGAGAGCACACACTTTAATATAAAAATTCACATGTCAATTACATGCCACGTGAATGTGATGAGAAAAATCCACCTTTCGACACATCATTCATAAACACAATAATTACACAATGTTACTAAAAGTCTTGTGTGCAATTGGCCGTTTGGCTGTAATTGTTGGAATCTCACTGGCCAAAAGTGTTTAATTATATGCAAATGCTGAAGCGTCATTTTGATTGGCCAACACGGAATTTAATACGCGGCCAAAGGAGTGAAGTAGAGGTATAAGAATGTGTGCTCTCATACCACCTTTTATCGCACACTTAATATCTTTATTTTTTATATATGTACATATACAACTTTTGCTCTTATTCTCCCCCCGCCTGAGGGCGCAAACAATTGTGCCCGAACTGAAATGCCATGACGAATTCAACGCCCCGAAGGGAGGGCGTCTAGAGCGAGAGTATTTAAGAAGTCAATTCCGAAAATGCTTTATGTATATTTGTCGCTTTTGGGGCTCTCAACCTCTTATCTTCCCCAACCTCAAATATTTATTTTATCCCCTCGAGAGAAAGGCGATACAGACACTGTGCTGAGAGGCAAGGCGCTGAGAAAATCGTAAAGAAGAGAGCAGAAGCCCAAATATTTTGCCTCTGGGGAATTATCTTTTCGTCAAAAGTCAATTTAATAATACTTATTAAGTCTGAAGTGCAAATTTTCGTCTTATTACACTTTTTCCACTTATTTCGCTCACTTCAGTGCTCATCTAAATAATTCTCTATAATTGTGATTTCGGGGTGAGCAAACAAAGTCCAAGAGAATTTTCACATTTCCAACAGAAGGTGAGAGAAAAAACACCACACGTTTTGCGTAAGTGAAAAGAGTTCTTTGACCCGTTGCGCAATAGTTTATATTTATTCCATTGTCACAGCGCTACAATTGGACTTCCCCAAGATGTCAGATTACAGATTTATTGGCCAGTGTTCTCATGAGAATTTTAAAGTTTGTACCGTGATTTTAGCAATAAACATAATTTTGACAAGTTTATCCTCGTCGCTATAATCATTTGGAGTTTTACAACTGTGAAGCAAACTGAAATTTATATTGTGGTATCAATTTGTATACTTCTATAGCGTTTAATTCTATTCTCGTATTGAATACAGAATGCATAAGAAATAACAAAATTCACAAATTTTAATTAATATGTTGTATGGAATTATTGTTGGCTTTAAAATACAAATTTCATTCATATGGAGAGATTTTTAAAGCAATTAATCGCAGATTTGCCCTCATCTATTCATTTCATTCATAAAACATTTTCACACTTGGGTTGCTTCTTGTACAAATGCCATGCGAAATTCTCGAATATATTTCAATTTCAAATTACTGGGTTATTTCATATGATTTTCTCGTTTATTTTTGTGGAAAATAACTATAGCATTTTAATTGTAGATTCTGCGAAAATTCCTTTATCAGCACAATATTTCATGATATCACGGGCCATTTGCCAATCTTTCATGTGATTTTCGCAATCCTCCCACGTGGGATAATTCTCTCATATCGCTGTGAATCACATCGAAAGTGTCAGAGCACGTATCACACGGCAATCGTGATAACGCATGTGAGAGTGGGAGAGAAGTAGACGCAAGATTGACTTCATATGCTAATAATGTATAAAAATATTCTCTGCATGTGATATCATTCATATGACGTAAATTGCGACTCGACGTCGTTATCTAAAAATAAATAATATGCTCTCTCTCCGGCTCTGTGTTTACTAATAAATTTTTGTTTAGTGACGGTAGGAAAAATATCTCTCAATATCTCGACGCATGAGTCAGAATGAGTGTGTTGTGAGTTATTCTCGAGGGGGTGATATACTGCTTGATGATGAGACTGCTGACAAATTTATCACCAATTTTAAAATTAACACACCAACTAATATTTCTTCTATTTACAACCGTTTTATCCGCCTTCAATATCCACCAAATCTGTTAGCGCGTCTTTTGCTCCAATTGTGAATTTATAAGCGCGAGAGAGCAGTGAAAAAAGGGACACGCGTTTCGGGTTTAAAGACCTTTATATGTGGCGTTAATTGCCAAATCTGTGGAGAAATTAGCAGGGATTTTCCCACGCACACTGTGACGCGTGTTTCTTGATTAATTGAAATGTCAGCAGAGCTTTCACATTTACCTGTTTTTCCACCAAGTAAGTTTATGTGTATATTCCAGCTTTATAGACTCCTACCGAAAATTGTGGGTTTTCCCTTTGAGTCCTTTCGCTGGTGACATGGAAAATTTTCCCTGTTTCGCCTGACACGCCATCAAAAGTTTACTTTTGAAGGTTACGTCTCTCTTAAACGCCTTCCATACCGTGTGTCATGCAAAATTACCTCTGAGGAGACAGAAGAGGTGAGGTGAAAATTTGAGAAGGTTGAACAAGCGATGTTTTAAAAAATAAAAACGCGACTCCCCGAATTTATCTCCTCCTTCGCAAACATTAATCTCTCCCTCCACCGTCATCACAATCGTAATGGAGTGCGAGGGAATGGTAAGTGGCTGGTAGGGAGGTAGACGGAGAGCGAGTTGCAAAAAAATATGTGGAAGAGTGGCAATTAAGAGGTTGTGTGTGTGTTGGAAATCTTGGCGGTATCTCAAAAAGTCCCTTGAATGCAAGTGAGAAGTGCATTGTTGCACGATGATGAATATTATTTGATGGGGAGTGGCCTGTTGTGGTTCAATTCCCATCAACAATTACCTTTTCCCTCCTTCTATCATGCCACCGACAGCATTTTACTACACAGAGAATGCAATTTTACTAGAAAATACCATCTACTATGCGCGATTGTAGTAAAATTCACTGTATGTGTGACGTAGTGACTTTCATTGAAGTTTTCCTAGGGCACAAACTCCTAGGCTTCCATTAGTGTGTCCTCATTTGGAAGTGGCATTTCTTCACTTTTTTTCACCACCTTTCTCTGACTCTACATGCGCATCGTCACCCGTGAAGGTGGGAGCTTTCACTGATAGATTTATCTGTGTCACTCAGGTTGGAATTAACGAGGACGGAAGGGTGTGTCGTTGATTAAAAGTTCACCAGGCGCCTCCATCTTATGGCAATATATGCCTCTGTCACTTTCCTGTCCAACCTGGAAAATTCTCAATATTTTCTCTGCAATGATATGGAATTTTAAAATAATGTTGAATTAACGTTGAGTAGAGTATTATACTCTAAGATATTTGGAATAGTGTTAAATTTGCAGAAACGTCTGGTCTAAAGCATGCAGTTAATATTAATTGACTACAATACTACAAATAATATGAATACTGACCTATCCTGACACACTATTCCTAGAGTTTGAGTTTATCTACTCTAAACGGGAGCTTTTATTCCCTCTGCCAATTCTTTGGAATTGACTGCAATCCTTGTAATGCAATACGTCATTATGCAAATCACAAAATCTGTCACTTGTCATTTGAGTTTCCAAATCAGTTCAAATTTACCGGTCATTATTAATGCACATCCCTTGAGAGATTCACGTACGTTCGTGCTGTATGGCATGAAAATTCATTTATCGCGTGCGCAGAAAGGGAAAATTGAGCTTTTCTCACTCTCACATTCATCCAACAATCCTTCCATGTCTTCTTCACTCACCCAAAATATCCCAGCACTCGCCTGTGTGTTGGTGCCATGGAGAAATTTCTGCTGAATGTGACTGCAGCAGGTTGGTTTTGGGTTTGGTTGCGTCGAGACGGTATTATCGATCCGTCAGACGCCTGTGGCCCTGAGGGCGACGCCCTGGCTGTGACCTGACTTGACCTTTTCAATGTCCATCCTTTGCGCTCAACCCCCCAAAAGCATGTGAAACGCCAAAAATAATTCTCTGCTCTATTTTACCGAAATTCTCTCCAACAGGCAAAACAGAGTGAATAGAAGGAAAAATCTCTGTAACAATTAGACAAATTATTTGTGCAGACAAATATTATGGCTTTTTCTTCGGTTTGAGCTTTCCAGTTCTCCATATCTTTAAAATGTTTGACATTGGATGAAAAAGTGGCTTGGATGGGAAAGAAAAACACTCAGAACTGAAGCACTTTTGTCTTGTGTGTGGTTTTTTGTCGACTTCCCTTTGAACTCTTCCGCCCAAACCGGGTAGATTTGGGGAGGTGGATGGGGAATTTTCCTCGGCGGTGAGGATTCTCGAGGGTGTGGAGATAAAATGAAAATTAGCCACGGAAAATTTGCATGGGAAGAAGAGAGGTAGAAAATTATTCTGGCCACCCACGAGGGTTGGAAACAATAAATGCACAGAGAGGGTGGAAAAAATTGACTGTAGCGCAAAAATTAGTGAGTAGACAAAAGAATTTTCCACTGGGGCTAATGATTTAGTAAATTTTTCGTTGAAGTAATTAGTTAATTAACGTGTCTCGTGTGACCGGAAATTTGTGTTCAGATATTTAATTAGCCAAAAATAACGTCCAAATAGCGTCCATGAGTTGGTCACAAATTGATGGTGACCTGCTCTAATGATTTTTGCTGCTTCTCTTTTTTCGACAATTTTGATGATGATTGTTGTCTGTCTATGGGAGAGGTTTTGCGGCACCACCTTATTATCAAGTCACTGTGTAAAGCCAACCGCATTTTGTTGGAAACGACAACGTTGCTAAGTTGAGAATTTATCAGTTTGCTACTTATGCTGGAAGCGTTACCATTTCTTCATGAAAATCCACCAACTTTTTGCCTGACCTGACACCATCACTATCACACGTTTGGCCTTATCAATAAAATATTTTAATTAATTTCAGTGTAAATTCATCGGATGGGCAGAAACGTGAGATAAGACTTTTTTATAGATAATTTTTTTCCCTCTGCTAGACGGAGGGAGAGGTAATAGGAATAATTCTTTATGTGGCGTAACTGGGTAAAAAATTATACACATAACGTCACTTGGCAAGAGGAAAAGTCATAAAGTAGT